TCTGCAGCACTCTTGTGGGACCAGAGTTATAAAACAGCCATGGACCCTAACTGCCTGTCAGCATGGCCTCCCAGTGCTCCACACAATGGGGTCATTCAGACACAGTCTGCAGCCCTAGCCACCCTCCCACATCCACCAGCCTCTGCCTGGGTTGAGCAAGCACCCCAAGACCCTCCTCGCCCCCAGGGACATTGATCAGAGGTGGTGGTGGACACCAGCTGACACCTGCCTCCAAGGAATTGAGGTGCTCTCCCTGCTGCAGCTACCGTTTTGCCCTGGCTCTCAGATAAACAGAGGGTGGCATCACCCGGTTTATTATGCGTGTTAACCAAACGCATCATTATCCCCAGCGAGGCACATTCTTGGTGAGCTGCCAACCTCAGCCTCGGTGCCAGACCCCAGCCTGTCTGCCTGCATTCTTGGGGCATGAGTACACCACCACTGAGAGCAGGGGACTTGACCAGATGTGTGGACGACACTGCACGTCTGCAGGCGAACTGTTGTTGCCCACAACGAGAGAAGGCAGGGCTGTGGGAGAGCCCCCAGCCCCCAGCCCCCAGCCTGAAGGCTCCAGGGCTGTGTAGGATCCCGGTCTGCAGTGGACATGGAGTCTAGGGTAACTGGTTTGTGTTGTCTGCTGCAGAAGACCCACCCCTCGAGAGGGTTTGGATGTTGGCTGTTCTGCGCTGGGTCATGCAGACACTCCTGGCCTCTGGGAGGTGCTGCTGGGTTCCTGGGGAGGCCACGGCAGTGGGAGGGGGAAGTGTGGAAGTCTGCTCCTCCTCCCTGTGCTTTTGGAAGCTGTGCCCCCACCCCCCAGAAGGAGTCTCCACCTGCATGAGGACAGGTCAAAGCACCCAACACTCACTCAGATGCAAAGATGTGCACACATGCACATACAGATGCACACGAGCACACATGTATGCACACACAGATGCACAAACATGCAGACATGCACACAGAGGTGCAAATGTGCAGACATATATTCACAAAGAGACACAGATATGCAGGCACGCACACAGGCACACATGGATGCACATCTTGTGCACACATGTATTCAGAGACACACAGATGCATGTGTGCATACATGTACACATACAGAGATGCAGACATACACCCACAGATGTATGTGTGCACACGTATTCATACAGAGATGCACAGGCATGCAAGCATGCACACAGGCACACACAGATGCACATGTGCATAAATGTATTCACACACACACACACACACAGATGCAGACTGCAGACGGACACAGAGATGCATATGTGCACATGTTCTCACACAGCGATGCACACACATGCACACAGAGAAGCACTGTGCACACGTCCTCACACAGAGACACAGGTGTACAGACGTGCACACAAGCACACACAGATGCACGTGTGTGCATATGTTCACACACAGATGCATAGGCATGCTGCCATGCACACAGGTGCACACGTGTACTCACAAAGAGACACACAGGTGCACAGACATGCACACAGATGCACATGTGCACACATGTACTCACATAGATACACAGATGTGCACACAGAGATGCATGTGTGCACACATGTATTCACATGGAGACACACAGGTGTATAGGTGTGCACACAGGCACACACACAAGTGCATGTGTGTATGCATGTATTCACACACAGGTGCACAGATGCACAGACATGCTGGTGTGCACACATGTATTCACACACAGGCACACAAATGCATAGACATGCATGCACGGGTACTCACACAGAGACACAGATACACAGATGTGCACACAAGCACAGAGATGAACATGTGAAGACATATACTCACACAAAGACACAGATGCACAGATATACAGATAAACACACAGGTGCATGTTGGCATACATGTACTCACACAGACACACCAATGCAGACATGCACACAGACACACACAGATGCATGCACACATGTACTCACACAAATGCACAGATGTACACACAAGCAATACAAATGAACATGTGCACACACGTACTCAGAGATGCACAAATATGCAAATGTGCAGACACATACATGCAAATTCATGCAATCACACACAGATGAATACATGCAGATACATAGAGATGTTCGTTGCACACTTATGCACCCTCAGACACAGATACAGACATGAGCAAGTGTACAGACGCAAGTGTGCACACTCATGCACTCACAAGCAGATGCACAGTCACACAGATACACATGGGTATGATCATGCAGTCACACAGACACACAGATATACACTCATGAACTCACACAAAGGCAAAGATGCACAGACATGAAGAGGTGCACAGAGACACACAAAGATGCACATGTGTTCACACAGAGACACTTGTGCACACTCCTGCATTCAGACAGAGGTACAGACATACACAGAGACATACACGGACACAAAAGCTCGTCAATGCCAACCTGGCTTTCTGGCACAGAGACCCAGTTTCTCAGTCTACCCATCCCCACACCCCAAGAACCTCACTACCCCCTCACACAGAGCCCTCAGTGTTTGGGTTTTATTTTTGTCTGGTGTGCGGGAGTTTGTTAGCATTTTTTTCACCTTCTCTGTGATCAAATTTGTGACGAGGAAAATATGTGGCTAAGTAAGCAAAATGCTTCTAAAAACAAAATGTCAAAACCCCAGCTATTCTGACCTCGGCCACAGGGATGGCCACATTACCAGTCTCCTTCCTGTCACTCGCCCACTGACCATGGACACAGCAAGAATAAGACCACACCCACTGCCTTTCGGGAGAACCTCGTGCCAAAGCTCCCTGCCCAAGTTCCCAGGCTCCACCCCACGTCTTCCCTCAGACCTACGTCCCCAGCCCTCCACTGCACCCCAAAGCAGACGTCCAGACCTCAGCCCTGCAGGACCCTCTCCCACATGGACACTGGTGACACCCACCCCCCCCACACACACTGTCTGCCTTCCTGTTTGTTCCCTGAACTAATCAGCTCTGGCCTGGTCTCTGCCACTCAGCCCAGCTCTGCACTCCCTGCTCAGTCTCTGAGGGCTCGTCACCACTGCCCCTCAGTCCAGCCAGACTTACACCTGCTACCTCAGCCCAGTGACTCTCCTGGAAACCTGACCACTGTGTTTCTGTGAGGCCATCATTCTCCCACGCAGAACAGTCTGGCTTGGTAAGCAATATGCTTCAAAAAACAAAGTGCATGTGCACCAGCCCAGGTGCTGAGGGAGCGCCCACTGTGAGCCAGGCCATGCGCTGAGGGAGCACCCACTGTGCGCCGGGTCACGTGCTGAGGGAGTGCCCACTGTGCGCCGGGTCACATACTGAGGGAGCACCCCTCGTTGCAACCAGTTTCCCTCCAGTGCCACGTTGTTCCTGAAGAGGCACCCAGCTGACAGAAAGGGCTGTGGGTTCCAACAACTGCCCTGGGCTCAGGACAAGGGAGAGTTCCTGAGAGACTGGGCATGACTTGTCACAGAATCCTTACAGTGCCCACTCACCCCCAGGATCCTCCCCACCAACCCCACCGCACTCACCCCTAGGACCCCTCCCCACTGACTCCCCAGGACCACCCACAGCACCCCCCTCCCCATGGCCCAGGAAACTGACTGTAGGGTGGGCACCAGGCCACCTGGCAGGCCCAGCTCTGACCAACTTGGCATGCTCCTACCAACAGCCAAGGCCTCATCGCACCCTACCACCCCAACCGGAGCCCACGGAGATCAAAGATCCTCAGGCTAACCCTTAGCAGAGCCTTTGAAGTCACTGTCACTGACCAAGAAGGGCATTGACCCCAAGGAAACCAGTTCCCAAACCCAGCCACATCTGCCCTGCAAACCCATCATACCAACCCATAAGGGTTTCCAGGTTCCTTTATCTGTGTGGATCTTTCTCCCGGTACACATTCTCACAGTCCCGAGCCACACCGGATTTATCTACCTGGCCCACCCCACCTGTAGCCATGCCTACCTGTGCCCACACCATTTGTACCCATGACCGTGGCTTCAGTTCTCTGCCCATGAGCATCTGCTTCTTGCTGTGACACGTTGGGGGCCTTACACACCTGAATCATGCCCATAGATCATCTGTAGTGCCCGAGTGGGGTCCCCTTCAGTCTTCAGCACAGGATAGGGGCACGGTTTCATAGATGAGGGTCTCTTGAGGACGTGGAAGCTTTGACTGATTCAGGGCCCAGTCCAGGCTCTTGCTATGGGCTTGGGAAGCTGGGGCCAAAGGTGGGACCTAGGTTCATGGCAAGGGGAAGGCAGGGGTGAACAAAGACCTGAGGGAAGAGGGGGGTTGTGTGGGAGGAGATGGAAGGATGAAGGGATGCAGACGAACCCCTGGGCACAGCTGAGGCCAGAGGGTATCAGACTGCACCAGGGGTCCAGAGGGGACCCTGAGGTCAGGGGAGGGGTGTGGATCCACTGGGCTCCCACCTCAGACACCTGCAGAGCACCAGCTGGACGTGAGACACTCGTGTGAGTTTGGTCAAGTCAGGGTCTTTATTTCTCTGGAGTGGACATGACTGCCAGCCCAAATGACCACAGCCAGCCAAGAAGGCCCTTTGAAACGCAAAACCAACAAGAAAAACAAAAATACATATTTGGCTAGTTCATTTCTGTCACAGAAATGAACTTGACTGGCACCCTGGACTTCTCACAAGCAGGCCGCTTGGGGCTCATCCCCTGAGCCCAGCAGACTGGGCCCTGCACCCACTTTATGACAGTCTGAAATGGCACAGCAGGCAACTCTAGCACGGGGTGTTTCCTGTGAGCACACCCTTAGAAATAGATAATAACTTAGTTGGCGTCCATAGCACTTCCAGTCGGTCAGACACAGCGAGTCCCTCCACAGCTTGGGCACCGGAGCCAAGTCCATCTTCCCTCAGAGTCCTCACCGGGTGTCCCCACTGGGGGTCCCAGCAGGCGTCCCTATTGGGCGGCCCCCCCGATGTCCTCGGTGGGCATCCGCAGTGGGCAGATGCCCTGGGACGGGAACATCCTGCAAGGTCAGTGGAGGTGCGTTGTCGGGTCGAGGAGCAGGGCAGCACTCACTCCGTGCTGATCTCACAGGGGTTCAGCCCCTTCTCCTCTGCGTCCCGGTACATCCTCTGGAAGTCCGCAAAGCGGGGGGCACAGCCAAGTCGGGCCTCCCCAAAGTGCATCTGGCCAGTGAAGAGGAAGTCCCCATGCCCGGGCCGAACACCACACTCAAGCAGCGTCTTGATGTGGCCCTGCCATTGACCAGCACCCTGAGGGGCAGGCTGGAAGACTCTGCTCTTCTGCCGGTAGAGCCTGCTTACCTGCAGGTAAATGGCCGACTCTTGTTGCTCTGGCTCATTGGTGACATTCTGGATGGAGCCTCGGACAACTATGGGAAAGGACACAGGACCATTTAGTAGAGGCCCAACAGCCCCACCCAGCACCAATGGGCACCAGACCTGAGCGCTGGGCCATTCAGCAGCCTGGAACCCAGAAAAACAGTGAGGAGTCTTCACTCCTTGTAACAACTACTCTCGGGGCTGGGAGAGGTTGCTTCATGGCAACAACCGGGAGGCCTTGGCAGTGTCGGGCAAGCAGGCTGTGCGTGTGGTATGAGGGACCAGTGCTCTGCAGCTTGGTCTAGGGGTATCTGGCAGACGTTACACATGGGGGCCGGGAGGCTGCATCTCTCCAATCCCATCACACGGCCAGGGCCTCAGCCAAGAAGGGAAACCCTGCACAGAGACTATCAGTGACGCTGGGGCCGCTGACAGGGATGTTTACAAAGCACTTCCCAAGAAAAGAGGCCTTCAAAAACCCTCCATCCCAAGAGTCCCGGGGATGAGAATGTCAGCACTCTCTGTGGAAGACGTGCATGCGTGTGTGTGTGTGTGTGTGTGTGTGTGTGTGTGTGTGTGTGTGTGTATAGAGTCCAGTCCACTGGGATGGGAGCGCCACGTCTGGGTAGTGGGCAGGGCAAAGGCCCATGTCCTTCCCACAGAACAGAGAGATTGTGCTGGACCCTGGAAACAGGAAACAGGAACTCACCAAAATCACTGGTGCAGACAGCCAGGAGAACCTCGGTGTCGCTGCAGGGGCGGCATGGGGCTGCAAGAAAGACATCATCAGGAGGTGCCCATACAAAAAGCAACAGGTTGTACAGGGCAGTCACGGTCAGCAAAGGCCAGTGCAACCCCACCGGCACAGTCACAGCTTCACCGTCCCTTCCCCGAGTCTTGGGACCCGCCTGCTGTTTTATGGCGTGTGTTTATGGTCAGACTCAGGTGGTGGCATGCCAACGCTTGGGCACAAGCTCCCCACCTGCCCTCACATCTAGCACACTGCAGAGGGAGTTCACAAAGTACGGCTGAGGTCAGGACAAGCAGGCAGACAGAGGGCAGGCCCACAGTCCCAACGCCCATTGCTTCAGCACGGAGCAGGGACTCCAATGCAGGCAGATTGTGCTTGCCCCCCACTGACCTAAAAATGGGGTGGCCATTCACCCACTAAAATGGCCCACACTCCACAAAGCAGTAATCATCAGACTACATCCCAAAGCCTCTCCTCTGCATGTGCTCATCATCAGAGAGCTCCCAACTAGAGGGACTTCAGGGAATGACGGCCCAGACCCCAATCTCTGAATATCGGACTGCCCCCTCACTCACAGATGTCAGCATGCCCCAGAAGCTGCCTGCTCTACTAGGCAATCCAAGAAGGAGGTTAGACACCTGGTGGGGAGGCAGGCACTTGTCTACTGCCGCACACCCACACACGCATCCTCAGGTGAGGCAGAGCACCTCTTCCAAACATGTCCTGTTCATGGAACCAACTCTGAAACTCCCAAAACTGGGGGACCCAGAGAGGGTGGCAACTTCCCAAACTCACTGGACCTCCTGGGCCGGGCTGAACCTGCACAGGGTTCCTCCAGGTTCTGCCCTCCCAGCCTCCTCACCCTGGGTGTCGTTCCTGCTACTTAATAATGTCTACAATTGTGTATACTAGAATTCTGGGAAAGTGTTTCTTGTGTTACCATGTAGATGGTCATGGCAGACTATGGCTAACATTGCCAAGAATGCGAATTCCATGAAATTTCACTGTGCTCAGGCAGAACCCGTACATACGCCCAGAGGCACTTGTTTGAACAATACAAGGGGATATTAAATGGTTTAAAGTCAAGAGAGATGTGTCTGGGTTGTGTCTTTTCACTTATTCAATCTGTATGCTGAGCAACTAATACGAAAAGCTAGCCTACCTGAAGGAAAACACAGCATCAGGATTGGAGGAAGGCTTACTTATTAACCACCTGTGGTATACAGATAACACAACCTTGCGGGCTGAAAGTAAAAAGAACTTGAAACTCTTGCTGATGAAAATCAAAGACTATGGCCTTCAATATGGATTACAACTCAATGCAAAGAAAACAAAAATTCTCACACTAGACTGATAAACAGATGAAAGATTGAAGTTGTCAAGGATTTCATTTTACTTAGATCCATAATCAATGTTTATGGAAGCAACAGTCCAGAAATCAAATGAAATATTGCGCAATGCAAATTTGCTGCACAAGACCTCTTTAAAGTGTTAAAGAGCAAAGATGTCACTTTGAGGATTCAGGAGTGCCTCACCTAAACTGAAAATACGCGGCATTTTCCGTTATGTGAAAGCTAGACAATGAGTAAGGAAGAGTGAAGAAGAATTGATGCATTTGAAGTTTATTGTTGGCAAAGAATACTGAAAGTGCTGTGGACTATCAAAGGAGCAAACAACTCTCTCTGGGAAGAAGTGCGCCAAAATGCTCCCTAAAATAGAGAACGGTGACACTTGTCCCATATGCTTTAGGCATGTTATCAGGAGGGACTGTTTTGGATTGGATTGTGTCCCTTCAAAATACGAGTCAGCTTGGCTGAGCCATGATTCTCAGAGGGTGGGCATCTGTGTGATGACTCCCCATGATGTGATCTGATGGGGAAAAACAATGAAAGACAGGATGAGATGGTTGTTCGGTGCCATCGAGCGGGTTCCAACTCAGAGGGGTCTCCTTTATAAATTTCCAAGGAGCAGCTGGTGGGTTTGAACCGCCAACCTTGTGGTTAGCAGCCCAGTGCTTATCCTATAGCACCACACCAGGACTCCAAGAGTGAGATTATTGGTGCTAAGTGCCACTGAGTCGGTTCTCACTCACACTAACTCCATCTTGGGTTTCCGAGGCTTTAAATCTTTGTGGGAACAAAATGTCTCCTCTTTCTCCTGTGAAGCAGTGGTGGCATCAAGCCAAAGAGCCCATGGTTCGCAGTCCAGTGCTTATTGTAGAGAGCCACCGCACTCCCAAGAGCGGGGTGTTGTTGTTAGGTGCCATTGAGTAAATTCTGACGTATGCACAACAGAAGGAAACACTGGCCAGTCCTGCCCTAGCCTCACAATCATCCGTAGTTTGAGCCCATTGCTGCTGCCACTGTGCCAACCATCTCATTGGGGTCTTTGTCTTTTTCACGGACCCTCCATTTTACCTGGCATGATGGCCTTCTCCAGGACTGGTCCCTCCTGACAATATGTCCAAAGCATGAGAGACAATATACCACCCTTACTGTCAGATGTAAGGGAGCTTCCCAGAGGTGTGGCCTGCAACACCTTCTTTCTCACAAGAGATCAAAGGAGAGTGCAGTGAGCAGAAGGGAATCTACAATCGCCAAGAAAGAAAAGCTGGGAGTGGGTTGCTTCCTATGGATGCCGGGGGTCCCTGATTTGTGAAGTCTTCCCCCTGGGAAGACTGATGCCAACACACATGGACATCCCCAAGGAACACTGGGTCTGCAGACGCTGAAAGGACACAAAGAGCTTTCTCCAGAGCCGGTGCTCTGAATGTGGACTTCTAGCTTCCCCGGCTGCGAGGGAATAAAATTCTGTCTGTTACAGTCATCCACTTGTGGTATTTCTGTTACAATAGCCCGAGATAACCAATCTCTGGAAAAGGACATCATGCTTGGTAAAATGAGGGTCATCGACAAAAGAGCAAAGACCCTGAATGCGATAGATTGACAGACTGATGCAGTGGCACCAACAATGGGTTCAAACCTAACGACAACTGTGAGGATGGCCCACGACCAGGCAGGTTCGTTCTGCTCAACAATCTAACAACAACAACAACAACGTAATTAGGCAGCAACCCGGTGTCATTTGCCTCCGCATTTCAAACCCCTTTGAGTTTCTAGGTTTGGCCTGATTCTAGTAAACTTGAAGGAAACGCTGACGTATAGGACCTCAGGGGAACAAGAGTTCCTTAGTCCTTCACATTTGAGCGTCTAGAATGGCGGCTGGTACACTGGAACCCGATGACCCTAATCCTGTTCCCATACCTCTGGCCACCAACCACCCCACCCTTTGACCCAGGCCATGGGGACAGTGGGCATGTCTCGGGACTGAGCGTTTTTGGACAAGCAGGGGCTCAGAGGGGCACCCAGAACATAGGTCAAGCCCAGGAGGGCTCCTGACTTGTCCTGTTCCTCCAGCCCGGTGCTCAGAGAACAGAGCTTCAAGTGCCCACTCCGGCTGCATGCAGGGCCAGACTGAAGGACTCAGCGCGTTTTCTCTGGTGACCTTGGACAAGATAGGCACACCTGCACCGCCCCCAGCTGCTGACTCACCTTGCCCCACCCCCAGGACACCTCCTCTTCTATCTTGTTATCAACAGGAAAAGCTGCAGAACCAGAACCACCTGTTTGATGCCTTTTAAACCAAGCCAGCTCACAGCAAAGGCTGGCCTCCTCCTGCCAACTCAAGCTCACCTGGCTGGACCCTTGAGGGTCGCGTCCTGGAGCCCTCACTACACTCTGCTGCAGCCAGGTCCCCCACAAACTCAGACTGCGACCGACCCCCAGGGCACTGCTGACCCTGAGGCCACACCTGTGGGATCCTGGGAATCTGGGGGTATAACCCACCTGCAGACCTTTCTTTACTAGTGAATCACTCCAGCGTTTGGCCCCTACTGACCTCTTCAGAGTGGCCACCTGAGGCCTTCCAAGTCCTCACCCAGACCCTGGGCACACATCTGGGAGGTTGAAGGGGAAGCCAACAGCACTCTTGGTGGTGGGTTCTGCCTTCCCCAGTCAGAGGCCAGCGTCCAAGCCCACAGCTACCATCGCCTGGCTCCAGGGAGTACCAGACCCCAGGGTTCAGCCACACAGGTAGACGTATGCCAGCTTCCCAGAGGCATCTCTGTGTCAGGCACAGCTCTACAGTCCAGAGAGCTGCAGACCTCTTCACACCTCGGGTTCTGGACCTCCACAATGCATGGGTCCAAAGGTGCAGGTGAGGGGACACCAGCCATCAGAGGCCTGGGACCCTCCACCACAAAGAGCCACAAAGTCCACATGGAGATTTGCTGATGGATAGCTCTGAGCACTGCACAACAGGAGTCTGTCAGTGGGCTCCAAGGTTCCAGCAGAGCTTCGTGACGCTGCAGAACATGCCATGCAGCAACACGTCGTTTCATTTCCTCACGGGGAGACGAGGAAGAATAGGGGTGCTCCTAGGAAGGAGAAGGGTGGATGTCTTGGGAAGATTATTACTGAATGTGTGTGAAATGAATTGAGCAAAGAAGAAAGAGGCCAGGGGCTTCCTCAGTGGTTGGGCTACAGTGGGAAGGAGTCACAGGGCCTAGGGACGCTGGCAGGCCAGGCCTCAGACACACTTTCAGTACCCAGAAGGAGGCTGCAGACAGGGAGAGAAGCGGTGGTCAAAGGTGGTGAGAGGAACCTGAGGGGCAGGGATCACGGACATGCCCCAAAGTAAAGGCGGCTGGGACTCAGATATGGCTGGTAGCGGGTGTCGGCCCATTTTAACAGGGGCCAGGAGGGAATTTAGAAACCATCTCAAAAACAGATTTGATGCATTAGACACTAATAACTGAAGACCAGAAGAGCTGTGGAGTGGCACAAAAGACATCATCCACGAAGAAAGCAAAAGGTCACTAAAAAGACAGGGAAGAAAGAAAAGAGCAAAATGGAGATCAGAAAAGACTCTGAAACTTGCTTTTGTAGGTAGAAAAGCTAAAGCAACTGGAAGACATGGTGAAATAGAAGAGCTGAACACAAAATGTCCAAGGGCAGCTT